GTGTACATACATGCCACTCACTCACGACGTGACTACTCTGACTATCTACCACATCACTCGCACACTTTTTGGTCTTGCGACGGCTTGCCAGATGTGGGCAAGACTCACGATTGCCAGACCTCTACCGCGCCCGCGCGCGCGCCGTTCCTGCATGGAATGAATCACAAGGAAGCTTCGGCCTCGGCTGAGCCACGAACGACAATTCGAATCGTGAAAGTGAATGCAAGTCGAATCGTGAATGCTGATGCTGCATGCGTGTGCACACGCGGGGGCCCACCAAAGCTGCCTGCTGCACGTCCCTCCGGGCTTATTATTCGGCCCCGAGAAAGAGCACGTTTGCATGCGCGCGGTGCTGCTGCTGAAAGCGAGCGTGCGAGGGTCGCAATGAATACCTAGCGGTCATGCAATCAAGGACATCGCTGCAGAAGACCAGCTGCAAATCACGTAAATCCACATCTCCTGCAGCTCGCTACGCTCGCTGCCTTTGCCGCACACGACCGCCGTCCCACCGCAACGATGCGCTGATGAAGAGGGCAACGCGCGAGGTACGTGTGCTCACAACGCTCATCGCATCTCTTGACGACGACGACGACAACGTCTGCGTGCACGCTCACTCCATCTCTCAACGCGCCCGCCCGCACACCATCTCTCTTGACGCGCACGCACGAACGCACCATGGCAGGCCACGCAATCTGCCGCAAAATCCCCTCGGTGTACGACACCCATTGTCTTGGACCTGGTCTGCTGCAGACTACTCCCGTATGGAGTCGTCTCTACTGCCAGTGGCGGAGATTTGTCGGAGAGGATGAGAGAAAGGATTACCCCGAGCCAGCGGGTGCAAAGGGCGCTGGACCGGACTCGATGGCCGGTCTGACGGTCATCGTCACTGGTGCCAACTCGGGTATCGGTCAACAAGCTGCCACGATCTTTGCCAAGCGTGGAGCCAACGTCGTTCTCGTCTGTCGCGACCCTCCACCTCACGAGCAGCATCCCAACGACGTGATCGACGGTATTCTCAAAAAGCATGCTCATGTGAAGCGCGAGAATTTGGAGTGGTGGAAGGTCGACTTTACCAGCTTTGACGACATCAAGGCGTTTGGGGAAAAGTGGAGAAGCAGCGGAAGGGTGTGCGATGTGCTGTGCAACAATGCGGGATCGGCCATGGGACCCTTTATCCACACCAAAGACGGTTTCGAATTCACGCACCAGGTCAACTTTTTGGCGCACTGCCTCGTCACGCTGTACGTGCTTCCCAGCATGAAAAAGGCGCGCGCACCGCGCATCGTCAACACTTGCTCCATCTTTCATCACGCCGGCAGGTTGGACTTTTCCAACCTCAACTACGAGAAGCGTCAAAAACGAGGATTGGGAGGAGTCATGGCGTACTGCGATACGAAGCTCTATCTGCTCATGTGGACGCGAGAGCTTCAGATTCGCCTCTCGCGATCGCAAGAGTACAGGCACGTCATTGCGCACGGCATTCATCCCGGATTCGTCGCTTCCAACATTTGGAACCTGCCCCACATTCGTGCCTTACCTCGTATCCTCATCTGGTTGCTGGACAAGCTGACCTCTTGGAAAGCTATTCCACCTCAACAAGGCAGTCTCGCCATCGTCAATGCTGCCGTCAATCCAGCGCTGGGCTTTTCGGAAAAGCAGCTGGCAAAGGGCACGCCGTTCATCGGAGAGTCTGCCAAGATCGGAGGCAAATTCCTCATGCGTCTCAAGGAGTCGGATCATAGGCCCGAAGTCAACGACCCCATCGCCACTGCTCGCTTGTGGCAAAGAGTCCTCGAAGATGTCAAGGCTGCAGAGAGAGGCGTCGCAGATGACCTCCCTGGACCTGCCCCTGGTCTCCTGTAGAGAAGTCGCGCTCCTCGGAGGATTCTCGCGCACCCCACACG